TTCCTTTTACCCTTCCCCCTGTCATCGACATTTTGGTCAGTTTTCCATTAATAGAAGTGAATTTTCGCTTTGATGTCGTACATACATGTCTACATAATCGTTTTATTCGCACTCATACACACACGCATTCTATTTTTTTTTCCTTTCACGCAAATATACGTTTTTTTCCACGTACGCGTTTCTATCAGGCTTATCATCTCATATTGGGGCGATCGTAAAATTGTACAGAGTGATTCAGACTCGTCGTGTGTATCGACATGTTTTACAGAAAAAGAATTATTTAAAAGATACTTTCAAATGAAATAGCATTGGAGAACATAATAGCATCCTTTGGTACAATTAATTTAGTTTCTTATCATGTTTTATCGTAAAAGATCGTCGTATAATGACGCTGAAATATACTGAAATATACTTATTCCAAATCGCCCTGTACATATTTCTCTTTTACATATATATATATTTATGTCGTATCATATATATATCTATAATTGTCGCGCCGCGCGCGCGTATCTATAATTATGTATTTTATATTCATATTTACAAAAGGTCGTTCGTTAAATGTTAATATTTAATATCGCAACTGTTTTATTATATTATAACTTTATTCCTGAGTAACCATTCATTAAGAACCTTATCGAGAGACTCGTCCTTCTCCCTTTGTTTCATTTATATAGATATCAGATAGATCATTCAATGTGTTAAACACTATGACGTACGATCGAGGTCGGCAAATTGAAAAATGCGTTTTGAAAGTTTCTCTTTCGAAAGTGATTCGGATAAAAATCATATGATATACTAACTATGAGTTACCCATAGATATTGACCACGTGGCATTCGAGGACAAGAAAATGTTAATTTACGTAGAGATGAAGATTGTTTCATTCTTCTCAAGCAATATATTGTTGAATGACGTAATGTACTATTTGAATGACATTAAGATGATTCCAATTTTTTTCGAATATTTTTTAGTTTCTTCACATGTAATTAATAAATGCCTTTTAAACTTGTGTGTTGTTCGGTTTATTGAAAGATTATTTTAACAAAATATTTATCGTGTGATTCGGAAATGTTCAGAACTGTCGCACAAATAAAAATTATACATGCATATTACTCGGCATAAAAAATTATAATGACTAATTATCTTAAACCGTCTCATACATTTAGAGCAATATCAAAGTCGAAAATAATAAACTATAATATTATTATTTAATGATGCAGATTTGAGACCAGATTGTGATTACACATAATTATGCAACTTAGGAAAAACGAGAGATTCGTTGTTTTCTTCGTATATATCTTTGTGATGTAAACTGATCTTTTCATGTACTTTTGATCTGGAAAGAGATTAAATATCGTCGAGTTTATCATGTTTCTTAGAGAATAATCTTTCTTTCGCGTGAATCATGAATCACATTATAGATGTAATTTTCAACATGACTCATTTAATATTATTCGTCCTCTGTACTATTCAAATTTAGTATGTGTATTTCATTACGAAATCTCAAACATCACAGCGATGTTTTAATGCCTTTTATAATGCAATGCTTAAATTTGTATTTCGAATTTTATTTGTTTGTGTTCCTTTTTTGAAAACGAAAATTTTGAAGATATGAGAAATAAAGGAATTTTTATATTATATTTTTAGAAATGTGTGCTTGTAAATATCGATAATATATTTCTACACATATTTCCGTTATCCGATATGAAATAGCGTAATCGTATTAAGTATTCAGAATTCCACTGCATGCACAATAGCAATATATATTAAAGATAAACCGATTACTATCGTTTCTAGATCATTTTGTGGAGTTTACGCGGATGTAATCGGCTTTGTTCTAATGGAGGAGCGCGATATACAATCACGTTCGTTTCTGTATTCATTCTAAAATTATTTTTATGTGTTAAAAAAAGTGTTAAATGTACAATAGCGAAAATTTAGTTATATTTTTGGCACATATAATACGCGCAATGTGTTTTGGTATATTTGTACGTTTCCTATATTGTTATCTAATGGTATATAATTATACAGTGATATTATACGTGTGTGCAACTTGAGGATTATAAAAAACTTGGCACTGTATCTATATATATATTAATATATATTTTTTTGAAATTGGCTGAAAAGACAAAATCCACAAAATGATCCGAATTTTTATCGACACTTTCCACGTAGCAATTATACATGAAAAACTTGGTTGTCGAACTACATAATGTCTATTTAAATATATGCAAACTTGTAAATTTGGCTTTATAAAAAGTTTACAAACAACACATGCATCGCGATTCTTAATCATCGAAACATTACGTGAAACTTTTGTTTATGATCGATATGATCTCCTTTCCTAAGAGAGGATTCAGAGGACTACACAGCTGTCATTAAAATTAAAGTCGCGCAGATGTGTTGGAATGTAATGTATGATCTTTAAATGTAATTAGGCAATGGAACGTACACTCGAATTGAGAGAAAAGAGACGATCAAGTGCACGATGAGAGTCGAGTAGTCAATCACTAACGAGTTTTCGTTACGAATCTCAAGCTTCGTAATGAATCTCAGACGTTACGAAGAATGTAAATCTTTGAGATGACATTCTTCTCTGTACATATTTACGTTGCTCGTATGTAACACCGATAAATATTTCAATAAACTTAATATCGCGCGCAAATAATCGTGCACAACTGTTATTATGATAGAAATGATCCGAATGATCATTGAGAGAGATAATTGATATTGATCGCATAAATTCGTGTAATACCGAACAGTAATAAACATCTCGCTATTCCCAAAGTTATTTTACATTTTCGTTAGCAATTCAGTTAAACTCAGAGCAACGCGTGACTATCGCAGTCGCTGGTAAATTGATCAATTCAGACGCGCTCTTCAGATTATGACATTTAAATCTCGTATTAATAAATTTAACAATTCAAAAGTATATTTTATAAATATTTGCACACTTTTCCGATGTTAATAATATTAATAATAATATTAATAATAATGATGATAATGCAATAGATATGATAATAAAATTATGGTATGTTATCATCATCGTCGCGTATATCTGCAACAGTATGCAAATTATCATTGTTTCTCCAACTTGCTTTATTAACTTTCTAGATTCTTAGAAAAAAATGTCAATAATTTGGAAACTTGATAAATATTTTAATAAGTAACTGCATACTCTGGTATCTCTGCGATTCCGCTAGACTGAATTAATAAAACGTATATACGTAATTTGTACGTTTAATAGGATCAACATAGGTTATCGCTAATCATACAATTAAAATTTCAACATATAAATATCACAGCCAGTTAAACAGCGTAAAATATACAGCACTAATAACATTATTTACACATAATCGTTACGTTAAGATGATTAGAATTCTAAGGATGGAGAGTTGAAATTCTCTAAACGCAAGATATATACTTCCGAGTTAATTTTCCGAACAGCAAATAATAATTAAGTATATATACAGCATACATATCATGTCTATGTGTTACGATCACACGTTGCTCGTAGATTATCGTTGTCCACAGCACATACTGTCAAGGATTGTAATTAAGGTACGCCGATGTACACGTACGTACGCAAATCACCCACGTTACATACATATAAATTTATAATAATGTAGGTAATAATTGTCTAAGTAAGGCTGATTAAACGCATTTTTATTCTTTCATAACGAGCCTCCCTCTTTCATTCTCTTCTTTCTCATTTTTATCGATCGATTTTCCATTGTCGCAAAAATCGCACATCAAAAATCGTACTACACGCGATATCGAGAAACGACGTAAGAATCGAAATATCTTATCTTTTCTTAAGCTCTTGATATTTGAAAGTAACTCTCGATAAAGAGAGAGAGAGAAAGATAATTAAAGAGAAAAGAATAAGTAAGAGAATAATAATTCTTTGTAATATATTTTCTCTCTTTAGAGTTTTGCATAACTAATTATAAGCTTTGAATGTGCTTTAAAATTTTATTTCTTGAGAGTAGTTCCGTATATAAAACTCTCTGACAAACTTTAAAGTGAGAATAACTCTCATTCGATAATTACGCGAGAACTTTAGTCTTTAGAACACATCTTCAATATACATATATAATATGAAACGCTCAAAATGGCGACTTTCAAAAGTTTTGAACACAAAGATTTAACTTTAAAATATAGTTTTTAACACTTTTATCGCGATACATTATCGAGTGCTTTATCTCGACATCGAGAGTTTTGTGAATTATTCGTCTTGGATATATCCGGCAGGGAGGCTCGAATCTCCTTGTCGAATCTCTCGTCTACCTCGGGATCTCGCATACCCGCATATACGGGAGTAAATGTATCTCAACAGTTATCGAAGTCATCCTAACATTACAAATCCCTAACAAATTTACAGAGGTGTTCTAAATCAACGTGGCAGTAGAATAATGTTCTCCCTCGGCCGCGGAGAGCGCCGTAACTCGAGCAGCGTGACTCGAAATCGCGTCGAACGCACGCTTGATTCTCGTGAGGCTTTTATTTGTTCATAGTAAGAGCACTTAATCGCTACGTTTTCTTTTAAATTGAACTATCCATCGCGATGTTTTTCCCCCACTGTTTCCCTCTATTTCGGGTTACCGCGACCTCGCAGCACGGCGGGATCAGTTTACCGGATTTACTGATACTTCTCTTAAGGATAATCCCTTACATGGTAATCATTATATTCAGCGTGAATATCATACAGATGACATGAGCCCAGTCCCGCGAGATTTACACGCGTTGCTTTTTTCAATCCAAAAATTGATACCGGTATAATTTTATTAAACTTATTTTGACAAATTAACGAACAAATTTGGAATCTCGAAAACGTAAAAGAGGTCGATTTGTTATTTTTTCTTAATTCTATTAATATTAAAAGCAATAATACTTCATGACCTCGAACCTTTTTGAATTTTTTACTTTTGATAGCCTTTTATGCAAAGATTTTTTTAAGAATCCCATTTCGTCTTTATTTCACATTTGTGAAAAATACGCTAAAATAATCCCTTCCTCTATCATTCGTGAAAACGGATTGATATTTTTTCAAGATTATACCGGTCTCAATCGTCGCTTTCGGAAGAATGCAAGAAGAATCGAATTTCTTCCTCATTCTTTGCGTTCTTGATTTCTGTCGCTCTAGCATATGTTTGACCATGTTTTGACCTAATTTTCGAAAATTTCAGATATATAGGGATGCTCGTGGAATTGCGATAAATGTTAAAAAAAATGTTCACGTATAGTAAAGGCTACTCTCCATGATTTATAAATATTAAAAAAACCGCTGCCGCGTATGTTTTACAAACGTCCCGTGCGATGAGAACGATCTCGCTTCATTTCTTTCTTCTGTTTATTTTTCATGTTTCGATGGATCCGCGTGCTCGTATATATCGCCTTTAAACGCGTCCTTTCTTCCTTCTTTTCTTTCACTTTGCTATGGGAAAATGAAATATTCGGTACGACTGTCTCACAAAACACTGCCCACGAAGATGACGACGATCGTTGATTATCGTGGAGGAATGAAAGATTTTGCTTGCAGTTCTGTTTTAATCTCTCTTCGTTGACCAAATGAATAAGCGATATTCAACAAATGATCGCATGTGGAAGCGAAAGTCGGAAGCATTGATGTAAGTGATGGCTTTAGTTGGTCCCGAACATGAGTTAGTAGAGAGTTGTGCAAGAATCGTAATTACTTATATAATCAACAGCTGATATTGTTCTTATAAATTAATCGAAATAATGATTTCAACAAATTAAATTTTATTATATTGAAGAAAAATCATAGAGCTTGTTAATAAAATAAATAACGTCAAAGTTACTTTGTTAACGGATTATTAATAAAAAGCTACATCTAATATTCGTTTTGCTTTTACTCGTTTGCACTTACATTCGAAGTAACTTATAATTGATATTACGGAACGAAGCGTACGAATTTTCGATTTCAATTATGAATACACGAAGACATTATCTTTATTATTGGCAATGAAGCCAATCTTGATAACTAATTTGCACAGTAACTATAATCTTTGCACAAACCCGCTCCACGAGTCGCGCATCGAAACGTGTCGACCGTTGCGTCACGGAGCTCATGGCAACACTACGCGCGTCGAACGTAATTTACACGCTCTCTCTTTCTTTCTTTCTCTTTCATCTTCATTTGACTCTGCGTCTTGACTATTACATACTATCTATTAATTAACCTATACGGTCCTATAACGTACGGATCAATTATATTCTGTGGCAGTTTATTTACAGTGCGACTCGCGCCGCGGCCCCCTGATGTTTGCGCCATCGATACATAGATGAATAGCGTACGCCATCGCGCTGACCGTTGCAATTTCGATCGTGGTGCATCGAAAATCCAACATTGCTGGACCGAGTCAAAGTGAAATCATAAACTCATAATCCAGCTAGAAAAGAATACTAGAATTCTAAGCAAAATTAGTTTCACTCGCTACAGTTGATAGTTAATAATTTACAAGAAACTGTAATGCGGGATCAGTTAATTAAGAAAATTGCCATTCAATATGCAATTGTCATTCCTTCGAATCGCCTTTTCAATTTCACCCTGCGCCCAGCAAGTCACGGGCCGCGGCCCGGTCGCAACTATCCTTATAACGTCGTCTATTTACAGGAATAGCACGATCATGTAATTGAGATATCTGGCGCTAGTCGTACCGTTGAGCTTCGTGCCGCCGCCGTTCTCCTCGTCGTTCTCGCTGGCAGTGTCGCCCTTCGTCTCGACGATGGTATCGAGCCTCTCCATCATGCCCCGCTGGGGATGATGGTTGCTCGAGCTCTCGCTCTCGGGGGTCTCGTCGGAGTCGACGTCGATTGTCCGATCGTTCACCTGGATCTTCACCACGGCGTCCACCGGATACCTGCTGTTACCCTCGTCGCTGGAAGACGTCGTCGTGCCCGTTGTTGCGCCAGATCCGCCGGCGACTCTTGAGGCGATTCCAGCCTCTCGTTCGCAGCGTGGACAGATCTGACCGTTGGACGAGCTCTCGTCGCTTTGACAGCGGAAGCAGATCAAGTCGCCGTCGCTGGAAAAGTCGCAGTGCTCGCAGTGCACGACGACGTAGCCGTTACCTCGGCAGAGCTCGCAGATCGGGCTCTCGTCGCGGTCTGTGAGCAAATTGACGGGTTAGCCAGATAGTTGCCTCGCGTGGTCTAAGATCGTCGGCCCTTTGAGAGGCTACCTCCGACAGCGGATGCCGCCTCGGAGATCGCGTGAAACGTCAGCGAGAGATGCGAGTGCAAGCAACAGCGAAATTATCGGTGCGAGAAGTGCTGTTGTAAGAGGTAGTAGAAAAACTGAGTAATATATCAAGTGCGTGCCAAAAAGGAAATAGAAAAATATTTTATGGTGTTTTTTTTAGACATACATATATAATAGGAGAGTAGACGTAAAGTTGTTTTGCAAGCGCATTGCTAATAAATAAAATAACTATATTAAATGATAATATCGATTCTTTTAACAGAATATTCGAAGATATCAATAAAGAAAAGAGAAATTATGATAAGAGAATTTTTAAGTCTAAATTAACCTTTAAACAAATTTAATCAAATTTTCGTTAACAGAAGAAAGAATACAAGCTTTAAAAATGCAAAAAAATATGCGAGTGCGAAAAATCGAGGACGTTACGTGTATCAGATAGTGAAAACGACGAATTATCAAAAACACCAAAGCCATTGAAATTAATGAAGCAAAGCGAACGAACTTGTTCAATCCTCGGACCAGAACTGGTCGAGGTACTCGCCTCTGTCGACATCACCTCGATCGTCCGTGTCCCTAGCGGTCCATCCGCGCCGTTGCTGCTCTTGCGTCCGGTAGGATCGAGGTGACGTTACCGGGACCGACTGTTCCGAGTGATGCGATCGGGGCGACGACACCTGAGCCCCGCGATCTTGATCTGACGGATGGTGGCAGGAGCGCGGGGAGGTCAGCTTCACCGGGCTTCTGTAGGCACGAGAGGTTCCTGGCTCCTGATGCCGATCGTCCATACGCTCCTCCACATATCTACCAGCATACGAGCCAGGTGTTTGCGGTCGGTAGGTGCAGGTACGTGTCTTCTGCTCGCACTCGCTGCAGAGCAGCAAATTCGACTTGCTACCGGGTTGCGAGACGTAGCCGTTGCAGGTACCGTAGTAATGCTCGTCCTCGTCGCTCTCAAACAAATGCTGGCTCAAGCTACCGATCGACTTTGTGTCGCTAAGGATTCTCGCGTCGTCCGGCTCCTCTTGATCGTCGACGTCGTACCTACTAAAAGTCGGATCGATTCGTCACAACGCTTAATAGCACCACATTCAACGTTATGTACGCTCGTAGCGGACAAAACTAACAAAAGTTAATATAACTTATATCGGCTATGAAAAATCAGCTTCTTATGGTTCAAAAGATATCATTTTACTCCACGTATATATAGAGAAGAGTGTGCAGTATAATATTTTAATCATAGAGAAGTTTCTTCAAAATACAAAATATATTATATAAAATTAATATATCTAAATAGATTATAAATTAATATAACTGCGATTAATGTTAAGAGAAAATGATTTCGTCAAATTACCTAGTATCGGTCGCTTCAACAAGGTAGTGACGTATCCGCTCGACTTTGGTCTTGCCGCGCTCTCGCGGCATTGTTTCTCGTTAAATAATGCTCTCTCGGTTTCTCTCATTGTTGTCCTCGACGCTCGAGGTCGAGCTCGTCCCGCAGATCTGCATCTCGATTTCGGCCAGCCGATGCTCGACCTCCCACTGTTGCTGATTCAGCTTGGCGCTCATTGCCGCCTTCTCGGTCTCCAAACATTTCAAACGCTCGCGGAGACGCTGAATCTCCGCCAGCAGAGACTCGTGCGTGCCGAACAAAGGTATTGTGCCCTCGCTCATCAGCTGAGTCATACTGTTGCAAGTCATGCCTATAAGAAGGAAGACGTATCGTCGTTACAGAAATTTTCTTTACGTTTATTCCAAAATTATGTTAATTTTCGATTCTTACATCTCAATACAAATGCATATATTAGTTATATCATTTAACGTAATAGCTAATCATAATTTTATAATTATTACAAAAGCGAATATAAACGGGCGGATGAATATTTAGCGAGGATAATGCGAATTCACGAGATCGTTGCGGTTGGCAGTTGATTTATTCTCTGTCTTCTAATATGAAGATCGCGTTTCAATGTGAGGCATTTAACATTTTGTACGTGAATATACGTATTCTTGTCTTCTCTATAGTATGTTCTTGCTACGGTACAAGTACGTTGCAATTATCAATTGTTGAAAGTTAGAATGAGAAATGTAAAAAGCAACAAACGTGAATTCAGCGCCGGCGTGTATGAATGCGAAATGAATCCTCGAGGAGGGCGAATCGCCCAGAACTTTGTGATTCGATGATGCTGATTAATGCGTGCGATTAGTATCTCTTTCTCGTAACTCGCACGATAATAGGATTCGCATATAAAATGAACCGTCGTATAGCGTCGAGAGCTGATACATCGTATGGATTAGCATCAGCAAATTGCTGATTAATTTACGAAATTACTATTTCGAGGGAAGGGGAGGAAAGAGGGAGAAGCTGACATCGCGAGATGATATAGGGATTCGTTTTGATCATGTCGCTTAACACCCAAAAATCGCAGGATGATTGTCCATATTTTACATATATCCAGAAAAAAAGCCGCGATACTTCGCCGATTAAATCGCTATCGGTTCGATTTCGATTATTCGTATTTGGCTTGTTATCGTCGACAGCAAAATCTGTCGCTTTAATCGCGCGATTTCGCAAAATTATACCGAAATGCGCTGTAAACGGCAAACGGCTCGATTACCATGGAATTTCCAGAGGGCCAAGAGGCGGGATTTTATTTCCCAAACGACATATAAACGTCGGCGAGAGAAACACGTTAAATCGTTACTACCTATCGTATCTATCGGGGTTAATGGTCGGGCGCTATTTTATTAGTGGCGGCGAGCGTCGCTCGTCATTCATTATATCGCGCGCGATATTTCTGAATTAACCATTTTTTTTTGCCGTTTTATATAGCATCGCCGGTAAAGCATTGATCGTTCACACATTTTGCCCGCGTTATTCACGTCCGGTTAGATTTGATTTGCATCGAGATCGCTTTCCGCGAGTTTCTAATCCGATCGGCGGCGTACAGGATGCAACTTTCGGAAGGAATCGTTTACGAAGACGCAATAAAGTCTTTTCCGGAGATACACATGATCCCATATAGTTCATCAATCATTTTCATAAACAATGATAAACTACTAAAAATTTATTCAAATATTGGACGATTAAATCTATCGAGATATAGGTGAATTGAGATAACAAACGCGGTGTAGATAATGATAATGTGTTTCTAAAAATGCCACGAATAATACGATAATTTCTACGATATTGTAGGAGAAACACCTTCCTTAGCCCCCCCCCCCCCTTGTTTCAAAGTGTCTTTTGTCCTGAAAATAGTTTCAAGATAGAACTTATTACGAAACGTTCAATCGAACGTAACGACATCGATAGTTTATGGTACAGACGTTGCACGGCCTTTCTAAAAAAGCTTTTATGGAACGTGAAATATTGATGACTAGAAAGCGAGAGGCTATGAAGGTCTTCCTATTCTCTCTATGTTCGCGCCTCACTTGATCGCGCCAAGTCTTATAGTCTATAAGAAACTAGGGTTGTGCGTCAGCAGTTTGCGCGAACATAGCGTCAGCCGTTATCAGCAATGATTTATATACTCTCATATGATACTATCGCAAGAGAATCACCAGAGATAGCGATCGACAATGCTTCTAAAATAAATTCGACGTGAAACAGACACACACACGCTTTAACACAGATAAAATAAATTTACGAGATATTAAATATAATAGGATGAATTTTCCGCCGCTCCTGTTGTGTTTTATCAAAGATCGGAAAATACAATTTACATAATTATTCGATTGACTACAGAATTATCTGCAGCATTTTTATCTATACCATTTTGTTGAATCCGCTTCAATATTTATGGTATCAAAAAATGCACTTATTTCTTTTAGTTCTTATAAACTTTTCATTATTTTTTAAATTTTATGCAGGTATAAACATTCCATTTTCTAATATTCATTATGCAATTTAATAATTATAAAGTAACATTGTTATTTTTCGTTTTCATAATCAGAATTTAGATTAATTATCTTTAACTATCGATTTTTGCGAGTAAGAGCGCCAGTGGTTACAGTCGCTGGCAAGACCATAAGAGGATTAAGTTACGGTTTACGGTATACAAATACACGTATATCGGATATATCATAGAATGTTGTTCGTGTAAAGAGATACAGGAAATGAGAAAAATCCACGTTCACCCAGAATGGCCAGAGGTCTTTTTGAGAAAGAAAACTTGGATACTTTTTGGAAAAGAGCCACGTATTTGGAAATAAGGTCGCACATACATCGCGAGGACAGGACGAAGGGAACTTAGACCCCCCCCCCCCTTGTTTCAAAGTGTCTTTTGTCCTGAAAATAGTTTCAAGATAGAACTTATTACGAAACGTTCAATCGAACGTAACGACATCGATAGTTTATGGTACAGACGTTGCACGGCCTTTCTAAAAAAGCTTTTATGGAACGTGAAATATTGATGACTAGAAAGCGAGAGGCTATGAAGGTCTTCCTATTCTCTCTATGTTCGCGCCTCACTTGATCGCGCCAAGTCTTATAGTCTATAAGAAACTAGGGTTGTGCGTCAGCAGTTTGCGCGAACATAGCGTCAGCCGTTATCAGCAATGATTTATATACTCTCATATGATACTATCGCAAGAGAATCACCAGAGATAGCGATCGACAATGCTTCTAAAATAAATTCGACGTGAAACAGACACACACACGCTTTAACACAGATAAAATAAATTTACGAGATATTAAATATAATAGGATGAATTTTCCGCCGCTCCTGTTGTGTTTTATCAAAGATCGGAAAATACAATTTACATAATTATTCGATTGACTACAGAATTATCTGCAGCATTTTTATCTATACCATTTTGTTGAATCCGCTTCAATATTTATGGTATCAAAAAATGCACTTATTTCTTTTAGTTCTTATAAACTTTTCATTATTTTTTAAATTTTATGCAGGTATAAACATTCCATTTTCTAATATTCATTATGCAATTTAATAATTATAAAGTAACATTGTTATTTTTCGTTTTCATAATCAGAATTTAGATTAATTATCTTTAACTATCGATTTTTGCGAGTAAGAGCGCCAGTGGTTACAGTCGCTGGCAAGACCATAAGAGGATTAAGTTACGGTTTACGGTATACAAATACACGTATATCGGATATATCATAGAATGTTGTTCGTGTAAAGAGATACAGGAAATGAGAAAAATCCACGTTCACCCAGAATGGCCAGAGGTCTTTTTGAGAAAGAAAACTTGGATACTTTTTGGAAAAGAGCCACGTATTTGGAAATAAGGTCGCACATACATCGCGAGGACAGGACGAAGGGAAGAAACTCACCGGAGTGGGTGGAGGGTTGCGTGGCGGCCGATTGCGGCGCCCTGGCCGTCTGATCCTCGCTGCTGGGACCGCTGCTGGCCGCGCTCATCGGGCTCTCCGCGCCTCGGGGAACGTTCGCGTCGCCCATGGTCCCTAGGTCTGGCACGGCGCGCCTGGATGTCACCGGACTCGGACTCGGCGAAAACAACGAGGCGGCTGTCGAATACGCGTGGGTCTTGTAGTCGAGGGGCGATACCCACATGTCCTCCAGCGAAATGCGACCCCGCGACTCCACCAAACCGGGCGTGCTCTGACATCTGCCTATGGCAGCTGCAAATTCACACCATATATCTCATTTTAATTTACAGCGCTTGAGTCTTTTTTTATCTATTTAGTGGGACGTTTCTAATATGATTAGATTATCTTTTTATTTTTATAACACGATGTGTTTTTTAAAACATATCACGTCTTACTTCTACATCAAATATGATTTGCAGGAATAAAAATGGAAAATTCAAATTGATTGAAAAAAATTCTAGTAATTAGATATCTGTTGCAAAAATGATTAAAAGGACTGAACGACTTAAGAAACGTCATAGTTATAGGATAAGTTGTATGTAAGGTAAGGAGAGAGAAGGGAAATATGAAGTTTAATTAAAAAGAATATTTAAATCTAAGGAAGATAGATTAAAAAAAAAAAAAAATTTGTTCTGCTTCTCTGGTGACTCATATTGCGTAAGAATTAACATGATATAATAATTAATATATTCGCAAATATTATATAATTAATACAGACAATAAATACATATCCGTGTTTGATTTAGGCACCTAGTTTTGTCTTCCATAAAATCCGTTTTTACGCACGCGTGGTTTTATATTTTAAAAACCGCAACGATCTCGTGCAAAAAGGGAGCTTTGGCGCTTCGGTATTACCATCGCTATCATTTTTTTTATCCCATCTTGTTGGAAATGAAACCACCACATAAAAAGCTCAACCGCGTCGGGGTCATCGAAATTTTCGAAATACGGGGAAACAACGAGAGGCTGGCCATTTATTTAGGATATCACTCATTGCATTGCGAGTTATCCATGCATCGTGGCGTCGTGTTTATGTGTGACGCGCGCTCGATACGATCTATACGTGCTCTCGAATTTCTGCTTTTGGGGCGTGTTGACATTTAACCGACGCACCGACAGTATTCAGTGACATCAATGGTACGTTATTTCGCTTTGACGTGGATCTTTCGATCGTCGAGTGAAATGTATACTCCTTCGGCTAGTTACGGATTATGGATTGCCGTTTTACACGAATCGCTGCAAAGATGCATTAAACGTCAAAGAGTTGCGGATTATTACATTTCGGCTTTGTGATATTACCTATTCATTTATGCAAAGTCGATATTTAATTATTCACGTAATTATGTTTTGATGAACATGACAAAAATAATAAATGATGAAAGTAGCGAAAGAGAAAAATATTTATTTATTATTTGCTGAGTCATCGAGGTCCAATAATACGATAAATGCATAACATTGGTAGCCGATGAAAGTAGACAGTTAACAATTGATCATTATGTAGGCTTGTGTGGGCTTGGCGGGCAGTTAAAATAAAAATCCTTGTAATTAGAGTGACCTTTAAATATCATGACATCATGTAAAATAAATCGCGGATCAAGACGCTAATAGTAGACGCTATGACAGATTTAAAAAAAATTGTTATTTCTCGATGACGCACGAGGTGTGTTGTGTGTGCGCGATTTTCTCTTTGTGTAGTTATTTAAACTAAAAATCTAAATATATAAGTTATGCATTTGCGCAAGTGTACCCGTGACTTTTTGCAAAATCAGCAATTTTAACTTAGAGAAAGACGTACAGCTTGATGTGCAAAATGGGCAAAATATCGTACACTTTTAAAAATTTATAACGTCGCGATTTTTTTAATTTTTAAATTAATTAGAGTACGTTGCACCCTGATACCAACGGCAGTCGTATTTCCTTCTTGGCATCGCATACGCGTGCAACTTTTACCTTCCCTTCTATAACTCGCCGCCGTAACTCACGCTACGCATTACACTTATTACAGCGACCTAATTTCTCATACGTCATCGCGACCGACGTAAAAGTACATTGGCTGCGCGATGCGTTGCGGGATGAGCACCGAATGAAAGTCCATCGTTCTGATAGTGATGAATGGCGCTTGAAGAGAGTTTACAAACGAAATAAGTTTCTGCACAACGCACTCTGTAAACGGATTATCGGAAAATGTAACGATGGACTGGCGATTGTATGCGTTCTCCAAAGAAACGAAACGATATCCCTCTTAAGGAGATACTTTAAGTATATCGCATTTTATTCAGCTCCGTCTTTATAGCTTTTAAAGTACGGCCTTTCAAAATGATATCAAATTTATTTTATTCTTATTATTATTTTTATAAACAAAGAAAAAGACGAACGATAAATAAGAAAAAAAAATTTTTTTAGATGCCTATGAAAAAGATAATGTTTGTTGAAATTAATTGATTTTTATTATTAGATTTTCTTAGATCTTTTATTTCTTTAATATTTCAATCACTTTTTTTGATCGCATTCTTCTCTTTCGTATTTTCACACTAAAAAAGAGATAATCTTATTTTAATTTGAGGATGCGTGATATCGGATATTTTTCGCCATTTTTCTTGGTTTGTTTTCTGGTTTTTATGGCTGGCGAATGACACATATAGCGATTCCGGTACGCATCTGTGTATATCCGCACATTTTTTACCAGAAAATAGGAAGAGGGCCGGAGGGCTTTCAACCCCGTATAGTTACGCTGAGCCATAGACCGAACTTGATCCGTCGTATAGCAGTATGTATTCTGACCGTCGTTTCCGAATCAACGAGATACCCGGAAGGCAAGAATTGCTGGAACTCCTGCAGCTATTTATCTCCATCAGCGCGGCATCGACTTTCGCCACTGAGTATCCTCCGACCTTGTTCATTCCTCGTACTTTTGCATGTGCGAAGAATTAGGTCACGAAAACATTTTGCAAACGAGTAAATCTCGAGATAGAGATATCGAGATAGAAATATTCGCCCAAAGTGGCATTTATGCGTTAAACACGACCGTCTAATTTCCACCTCGCATTTATCTCCCGTGCTCTTTGTGTATTAGACAAATGAAACATATGGAAAAAACAAAACAATGGTAGCGGATTTGCAGTATGTATATAAGGTACATTAAGGTAGCGCGATTTCTCTAGATAAAAAAATCATTTGAAATTTGAAATATAAGTAGTTTAAAATAAGATTACACGATATATATAAATATTATAATTCATTATAATCCTTGAGAAGAAAAACTTAGTAGTAATAACACACGGCGCTTTATATCGGTATCTTCTTTTCATATATATTATTGTTTCGCGAGAACATTTTCAAAAATAAATGGTACTTGGAAACTAACGGCAGATAGAACTCTTCATTTTAAAGCTCCATCTTAAGATCGAAAAGAGCGCTCGTTCATATTGAGAAATACAGAGTTAAGTGTCCATTAAAAGTTCCACGCTTTGGAATATATTTTTCGAACGCTTGACTGAAGTTTAATGACCAAAAATTTTCAAAGACATTAACGTGAGAATATCGACGATCACGTAACGAGGTGGGGCATTGAAAGAGCTCAGCGAGAGGTGAAGACGCGATTTCGTTGCGCCTCGTTCAAAAGATTTTCGCGAGCGCGTGTTAGTAATAGGCGGACGGAGAGAGAGAGAGCCGAGGACTTTAATTAATTAATCCGGAACTACGGCGCGTGCGCAAAAGCAGCCACCCTTTCCTCACCCTGCGGGTTAGGTGGCGAAGTTCGCCGTGTTACGCACCAAAACTTTCGAGCACGGCACCGTTACGGCGAACTGCGGTAAAACATAATACAGTCGCTTATCTCTCGCAGCTTTCAAAGAAAAAAATAAAATTATTCTCTTTATAGCTGAGTGAAGCCGAGTTTTTAACCTGGCAGAAAGATTAAGAAGAAACAGAAATTATATTCCTTTGTAGAAGATGTAAAAGATAGTAGCATGATAGGTTGTTGCAACATCCTCTTTTACATCGGTGATCCTTAAGTAAGTAATATAGAGACGATGAAAAGTCAAAAATTGTTTGTATTGACACATCCCTGCGCGCATATCACGTGATGACATTTTATGTTTTTACCGTTGATATACTTCTCTTGTCCAAATGCCACTTATTTTTCTAAAATATTCTGCAGAAGAGAAACCTTCAAAAACCGACATTTCATATATGACATTCCACTTGCGTTATATGATCGCTGCGTTTGCAGAAGAAACGAGAGGGGAGAAGAGAAAGAGTACCGCGAGCAATTTTTCAGCAAAAATAGAGGTCGAAAAGAATGTTTTGAACGACGGTTTTTTGAAAATAAAAGGCGAGCGATGAGAGAAACGTTGATAGCATATAGCCCTCGAGGCAGTCAACTCACAGTATATACGATCTCTCCCTTTTAGGGGTGTGCATGTATTTTACAACAGTCGCGTCACAAAACCCGAAAAAGATAAAGAAAAAAAAATAGAGAAAGGCTACCCTTTCATTAATCCTTAATGTCATATATATTTCATTATATGAAAATTACAGTTCGTGGAGCGAAAGATGAGAAACTTAATCTTGACCGGATAAGTTAATAATAAGTTAATTCAATCTCTTATCAATAAAACTCAAGCAAAAGTTAATCAAAAGATAAAAGGCTCGTAAAATTTATTATACACTATGATTTCATTTTTATCGAAAGATTAAAAAATATTTTTTAAGGGTTAATCCCTCTCTCCTGCAGATTGAAAATTTTTCAATTGGAATAAAATTTGACTACAAATAAAATGCTTCTTATCGGGATGTAGCTTGGTTCGTTATATCGAATACATCAGTTGAAGCGAAGCAATACGAATTTCGCGATAGTGGCTATGTCAGATCTACAAGGATGTCAAATCTGCAGTTCAACTATCTTGAAACGTCACGCAAGGATACAACGTATCCGCTTCAAAGACATCTTTAACTATACTATCATTATACACGCCCGAAACTACAATCGAGTGTTCCACGTCGGTTCATTCGTTAATGCGCCGTGCCAGCGACGAGAGTGTCGCATCTTGATGGAATCCCTCCGCTCTCGGTCCCGGTTCAAAGTTCTCCGAATGGCATCCGCGCCCTGAAGAACTTGCCTTGTGCCGAGGGCACGTAAACTTCCGCACGTCTAGCTATTTTAACGACGATAACGAGGAAAGTTTGAGGCATCCGCGGTGTTTCGATCGCGCGCCAAGCAGCTCGCAAGGCGCGACACGTTCGCTGTCGAATTCAAACCTGTTTCGCGCGATTTTGAAGACAAGGAATTGAAAAGGAGTTTTCAGCGTATTTCCTACGCGATACGTTTCGCAGATGCAGACTTCATTCATACAAGCAATCTTTGATTCCCTCGCGAAACATATCTAAGATGTAATAGCAATAGGCAAAATTATAAAAGAAGCGTTTAGAGCGTTTCTATTCCTCGAGTATTTCTCGTAAGCGACACAGAGTACGAGAGTTGAAACAATGTTCTAATAAATAATTAATCTAATAATAATAAATTTGTTTTTTTTTTTAGCTTCCCGATGAGATTGGTAAACGAGCCTCTGTCGGCGAAAAGCCAGATACCGACAGTCAACGCCGCTCCTCCGGCGACCTGCAAAACACGAAGCACCTCGGTGTATATATCTCCGTTCTGCTTCATGGACTTTGAAGGTTGACCAAAGGAAACGGGGCCCAGAACTCGAAGCAGGGGCTTGGCAATTTTCACTTGCGATCGCACGCAGGCACATTAAATTACACATGTATTTGTCCCAATAAAGAGTACGTGAAAGATGAGAAAATCTTCGAGATATATTTTATCAATCTATCGAACACGCGAAACTAAACTTTATTTCCACGTTCGCTTCTGATAAGATATATCCACAATAAGAAATCAAGATAAATAAATTTTTTTTTTTTTTTTTTTTTTTTTTTTTAATTATCGTTCGTTCTTATCAATAAAAGCCTGAATTGAATTTTGTTGGAGATAGTTTTGAAAGACTTTTCAATTTTTCTTGCAAGAATTTCGAACGTTGTTCCAACCGAACATTACAAAGAATGCGTCATCGATCTTCTCTGTTGTTGTTAAAGAGAAATATGATAACTGTTTGCATATACTTGAAGCCCGCGAGCGAAGATGAGACAAAAGACAGGTTCGACTCACCTTTCTCCAGAGGGGCTCTCTTGTACTTCTCCAACCTCTTGACAGCGATGGCTTCTAGGCGTACCCTGGCAGCCGGATATTCCTTGAGTACGTCCCACATATCCTTCTTGCTGAGGACGAAGAGGTCCGAGTAGCCGACCGAGCGCACGCTGGCTGTTCGCCGGTTACCTGCGTCGATGTAGCCATTTATTGGTTATCGGGATGCATCAAGCTTTCTTATGTAACCGCGCACGTGATCGATCTGTGTCGATTGTTCACCGTAGATTCTACAACAGACTCACTGTGTCACCGTTCGTTCGATCAATCCGGAGATGCACGTGGTTCCAATTGTACGCCGATACGTTTACACTTTCTTTCATTCAAGAATCTTTTTTCTATCGTCCTATCTAAAAGATGCGAAAAAGCTGCGTCGTTCAGATTCGATAAATCTATGTTAATCGGGATAGATCGTTGGCTCGTATTTCCGGTTTTTTAACAGATGCGTTTAATCGTCCGGCGTTTGTCCGCTGATAAATTTATGATTGATAATAGCAGGTACGAATTAATTGTTGCACGGCTTCCTGTATTTATCGGATATTTTTTTCGCGGAATTGAATACAATTGATATTTTGATCTTTTTTCTCTAGGCGGGAAAAATTAAACGCGTTTAAAAAATACGCTAATAAAATAGTTTGCCCAATGTGACAATGACGCAACCGAGCCATTATTTGCAGCTTTAATTGGTGTATAAACGATATTTTATATACCAGCGTATAAAAGGACGCATAATTAACACGGTAACAAAGAGCGAGGTAATTGCTGCAGACAGAAGTCCAAAACGCGGCGATAACTCACAAATCAGGTAAAGTTTATATATATTTCCAAGAAAGATTTAACCGTTAGATAAATGTTACGTTTGGAAGTGTCGCTTCATTAGTACGCTACGAATGCACCTGAGTCGTAATACAAATTGTAATAATTAAGCTAAAGCGACGGAGAACTCTAACGTTGATTGAAAATTATGCTTTCGTATTTATGTGTGTGTGTATCTTTACCGTAATTGTAGTATGCGGCATGCGTTTCTCTATATCACGACGGGAATTATAAATAGCTTCCACAACTTGAGTTATATATTATTCAGAAAGTTTTCACATCTCGAATGCAACGAAGTCCGCTTCACCCGCTTTCGGTCAAATATATCGTAACGCGCTTAGAATTAATTGTATAACAAAGTATTGAGAGAATACAAATTTTGCTTTTATATTACTGAAGTACTTTGAATTATCTAATTGAGGTACAACTTTTTTCCACGAGTCCGTTATATATTTTCGGACCTCAAAATATATATAGCGCTTCATTTAACAATTTTACTTACTCAAAATTTTGAAATACATTTCAGATAAAATTTTTTCGATGTTTTTAACATCGTATGTTTATTGCGTTCGATTAATATTCTAACAAGATAATAATATTAATTTTGCGATTTTTATTCGATTGTTGATTTCATGTTATGATTAATTGATAATTTTACGTTTTCTTACGGAAAGTCAAAAGAATAAATTTCGATGATATGTTTTCACGAAAATACGTGTAAGCGGATGACGTGCAAGTTTGACCTCATTTGTCCTGATGTATTGTTGATGTATTTTAATAATAAATGCATATCGAGATGCTTTATTGCTGTAGTTTTTTCGGCAATGATCTCTTCTTATCAGTTTGCATCGCAAGATGCACTGCAAATTACGCTTGTTATACATAATGTTAATAGGTTGCAATAGACAATATAACGTATATATCGATGCTTGATAGTGAATATGTATTGTTGAAGGGAGACAGTCTATTTTGTCTTTTTTTATTGTTAGTTTCCACTCTCATATTTTATATATACATTTAAATAATGAAGATAAGATAACAAAATGGACTATCTTCCTTCATGGATAGAGATCAAGATAACCAAAGTTATATATCTGGTGTTTCAAAAGTTAACTTAAGATAAAGGATGCCAGAAACTACTATAATCAAATTGTATGTGTATATATATGTATGTATAGATATATATAAATATATGTGATAATATAATTAGCGGATTCGAATGCAAGTTAATATATCCGTATGAAATCAGCACGCATCACAGCAGTAAATTACAATCATTAATAATAGCCTAAGTCAGGTAGAATGATGGTGACAAATTGTGAGAAAGATATGTGAACAGTGCAATGAATAGTAATATGATAATATCGCATGAAATTGAAAATGTTCGTAGAAAGCATTTGTAAACGATTGCACGCACAAATAATTTTCATGGATCAAAACCCATTTAAATTAGAGCTAAGAATAATCGATAATATTAGCCATAAATAATGCAAAATATTTTGGCGCTACTGATTTATAAGCAAACGCGAGCCTAAGCTTTTTTTTTTTTTACAAATGCCATTCTTCAATTATTATAGATACGTAACAATTAATAAATATGCAAATGGTATAATAAAACATGTGACAATCCCAGCGTGACGTGGCAGCACCAATTGTGAGAATCAAAGACATGAGGCTGAAAAGGGCGCGACTAAAATCTGAATTGATCCAAAGAGTTCTAAGCCATTTCTTCTAATAATAGAACTACGAAAGCGAAGTAGAGAAATTATGTGTGTATGTGTGTGTGAGCGCGCGCGCGCGCGTGCACACGAATGGCTAAAAATATATATTTTTCATCAAAATTTTATCGACCGGTACGCCTCGCGAGAAACTAACTCTCCGTCTGCCATTTCGTTCGATTGATGCATTTGTACGTATTTTCGAATAAAAAAAAGAATACTGTTAACAAATAACTCCGGTGCGTTATCGAACGATTGTACAATCTTTTATTTTCTGGTCTCTTATTTTTTTTTTTTATGTAAACGCGGGTCAAAATCTCGCGCTGATCGTAATGTCGTAAAAAAACGTAATTTGATATTTTACAACGTGGGTGACAATTCGATTGGTCGTTCCGGTCGATCTCGTAAAAAAAAAAAAAAATAAAATAAAGTACAGTAGCCGTGAGAAAGATTGAAAGGGTGGAGACTAAAGGGCAATACGTGTCACGGGCCTTATTCGAGATGCGCCGACGGTCTCGCAACGACCTACTCCGCCGTAACTGTGTTTGCGTAATTCAATTAACGTTACTGTTTACTGGATAAGCAGAGCGTTATAAAAACTTTGGCTTGATGCAAGCATGAGCGAAATTCAAATGCGATTGATATGTTAGCGTTGCTGAACGCCTGCGGAATTCACGGAAATATCTCGGAACGATAGATACCTTGTTATCTACAAGTAACAGTGTATGAAAAACTTTTTATACTTCCGCTAATATTGCCTCGTTTTTGCACAGATACAATATAACCGAGTAATCGAGCTTGTGTTTGCCGAGAAAATAAGCTAGGGCAGCCGCTGGCATAAATCTGGGAAATTCTTTATCAACTATTTAAAAAAAAAAAACGGAGTATTATAAAGAATTAAATTTTTATTTTTAATTCAATAACATCGCGCTCTCTGAAAATATACGAAAAGAAAATTCAATTTAAAGTGGATTAAGATCATTCAGATGGGGTTAAAGTACGATTCTTATTAATCCGAAGTTTCTTCACGACGAAGGCAACGTTCGCTCGAAAAGAGAGTTTTCTGGAAGGAGTTTTGATAGAAGAATATAAAGTTCGTGCCGTTTCCGAGGCGACTCTTTATACACGTTAACGACCATTGGGCGCTTATTTTTTTCATTTCAGGAGTCATTCGACGCAAAGAGAGAAAAAGAGAAAGAGAGAGTCGATCCTCGAAAACAATAATGTGACTGCTATCGATCCTGCACAACGTCGCGCACGTGCCGACTGCCGACGGCTTCATCCTGATAGACAGAGGCAATAGGATTGTCGATGCAGAGAAATTGGAACTATACTTTGCATTGCCAATCCTCTTTCCACTCTCGTCGGGGACAAACTCTCGGAAGATGCACAAGTGATTGGGATGGTGCTTTGGGAGTCGGTTTTTTTATCACGTCCATTAAATTACGCTAGGGAATATAAGCGGAAGAAGAATATTTTTCTCCGTTGATTCTCTCTTGTTTGTGCGCGTAGCGAATGCGAATAATAACTATTTGGGCTTGAATCGTCGACCCTGATTGTTCTCCGGTCATTCGATATAAAGCTACTGTGCATATCAATGGCAAAACGCTTAATGGTCTGAAACTCGTTTGTCTTGATATTTTTTGAATTCATTTACTGTATTTCTATTAGAAAAATAAACATTTCCGTTTTCTTTTTTCATATTTAAAAAGCGATTATTCGACTCCCATTTCGCACTTGAATAATGCATGTGAAAAGTGTAAAACCTCACTCAAATAAATAGATATCACACTAAATTTACGGTAAATTTAGGATCCTATATATTCTGTGACAGATCCAGCGATAATGGGAAAATATCGCGTACGAGCAGCAAAATCGTTCACGGCAGATAGGTAATGTAACGTCAATCACAATTAAATCAAAGTTCCTATTTCTGTATGAGAAGATATTATTACGCTCGTACAAATAGAAAGGATAAAACTCGGTTAATTTTTTGATGATTTATCTATATGTAAATCTAAACTTAGGTTTTAGAGATTACACGTTTTATTTCGAAAATATTCCGGAGTAAGTTTTTAATGATACGACATTTATTCCGCGTATTTTCTGTCGAAAACTAATTAATAATTATGACAAAAACCAGAGGTAATCATGTTATATCGAGATTCCTGTAGATAACAAGAAATAAAACATCGTTCTCAATTATAAGTGAACAATAATGAGGTACATGCGCAAGATATATCGACATATAGAAACCTATTTAAAGTATTCCTTCAATCGTTTTTCTTTAATCAACTGCTGATATATATGTATATCATCGTTCTCAATTATAAGTGAACAATAATGAGGTACATGCGCAAGATATATCGACATATAGCTTATTAAAGAAACCTATTTCAAGTATTCCTTCAATCATTTTTCTTTAATCAACTGCTGATATATATGTATAGGCTGTCGTTGCATGAACGTCAATCGCGATTAAAAGGTGAAGATCGACAAGTGGGACGAGTCTGCGAGAAAAAGAGAGATAGTGAAAAATTGCTAGAGAGATCGTTTTTAGATCGGCTCATACCGGCTCGACGGCTTGCCCTCTCACAGAGTGGTAAGAACGTGAAACGTGAAAACGTGATCGTGAAAAACGAAGGGGGACAGCTCACGGGCCCCTGGTCCGTTTGGAATATTTACCGCACTCTTTACCTGCGGTCCCCATATTGAGAATGCTGATCTCCCCGAAGTAGGAACCCGCCTTAAGGGTGGCGAGCACCGTCTTCCCGTTGTCGGCCACCACCTGCAGTCGGCCCCTATTCACTATGTACATCTCCTTTCCCACCTCACCTGCAATTACGCAAAAGTCACATCCGATCAAAACATTAATTATTCCTTCGACCGTTTCTTACTCCTCCTTGTCCAATTTAATCAAGACACTTGCGCGTATTTCAATATTCTTGAAACTCTTGGTAATGAAGTTGATAAGTATACGCAACATCATATTTTCTTCATTTAAGAAAAGAAAAAGTTTTGTAAATGCTCTTGTGACATGAAATCCAACTTTTTATTCACATAATATTTTTTTATGAATCTATAAAAATAATCATCCCTCAGTGCTTCATTGGTCGGAGTTCGTCGAACCGTCGATGTATTTCGAAGTATACGACGAGAGCTGGTCTATCTGTCTACTATATAATAATAGTGCTTGTATTATTCCATTAATGCGACTGCCGCTACTATTAACCATGACATATCTCGGTGCAGGAACAAGAAGAAAAAAAATGAAATAATGATACAAGAGCTTATTAAGTCTTTACAATGCGCACATAATCCTGCCATTGTTTTCTTGTTTCTTTTTTCAAGATTAAAAGAGAAAAATAACACAAATAACTAGTTTACAAGGTTTTGTGTCAGAGCATTTTAACACTGTTTCTAGAGTAATTTTAAACGTTGAGCACGAATATGCATCAAAAAATTTTTATCAAGTCAGATTTTCGAGAAAAACGCGAGTTTTTAGTGGATTTCAACCGTTTTTATCGAAAATCTGACTTGATAGGCCATTTTGCGGATTTGGATTCAAAATATGTTAAAAAAAAGTTGTTTCCATTTCTGGTACTAAAAAAGTGTGAAATTTGTAAATTAGTATAATAAAATGTAAAAATTAACCAACCATTAGAGAGAGAAATCGATTTTAATAAAAGTATCAACGCTCGCGACACAGAGACAGAGAGAAAGGAACAGCTGTTGGTTGTCAGGCAAGTAGTAACGGCACGTCATAATTCCGACCATAATCGCGCGACACGATACGACGAAGATACGCGAGAAATGAAGTTACCCATCAAAGAGAAGATATTGTTCATTGGAAAGAATAACCGTTGCATTTGCGAATACATGCAGCGATCATTTCGCTAGCGATAAAAAGAATGTCCGTCGCGAGAAGGTGAAGTAAACGAAAGACAAAGAAATGATTTGGTTCACGGTATTCGCATCTTTGGCAAACTGAAATTATTCGAGCGACTGCTTGTGGTATCAAAAAAATAATTATGCCTCCTACATATCGTTTAAATAATCGTGAATTGTTTCAGAGATATTTCAAGACATATGTAAGTTAAAAGAAAATAAAAATAAAAATTTCTTTCAGATTTCGCAACGTTAAAAGGTTTAAATTAAATAAAGAAGAATCATGTTTACGATTATGACTAATAGAAACATAAATTAATAGAAGCACGCGATTTTGTAACAGTATATTCAATCCTAATGTGTTTAAAAGGAATAGAATTTTGGTTGAAAGAATATTGAACATGATAGTGTTGGTCGTCAGGATTTACTATATTAAAATAGCTACGCAAACCCGTGTTTTTTTTTCCTCCGTATTGATACCGAGTGGTGGCAGTCAATTTTTTGGCCATAGAGTAAAAATATTTACCTACCCTTGGCGGGCTTTCGGTTACACTATTAGTAATGAGGATGGCATAGAACAGAGAGAGGGAGAGAGAGTGAGAGGGTAGGAAAAATCATTTTTCATACCCAGTACATCGTTTGGCATATTTCCAACACTATGTTCCATAAGCAGAACACATTGAATTCACAGGGAGAGATCGAGTTCACGAGGAGGAAGAAGACCAGAGTGTCTAACGAGGGTTCGTACCCTCGAGGGACTGTAAACGGGAATGGGCGAGGGCGACACGTTGCTTTAACCGAGCCGCATTTTTTTATCTAAATTCTAAGTTATGGTGTTAATTCTCTTCCTCGCTAAAGTGGAGTATAAGGAGAGTTTGCATAAAACATTCGACCCATCATCCAAGTACTCTCCTCTTTCGAGAGGAAGTAGAGCCTCTTGAAAGAACTATGACCCAAGATCTTACCTTTGCGGCAGATGTAGTCGCCGGGTGAGAAGAGAACGGGCCGTAGTCGCAGCACCAGCTCGCACAGGAAACCAGCCTCCGTGTTCTGGAAGATTTCGACCCTCCTCAGCGTATCCAGGTGCACGTTTATCGCGATTTCTGCCTTCAGTTTATCTGCAATGCACGAAGAGAATGAAAATTAATACGCGGTACGAGAAAAGAATGTTAAAAACTTAAATTTCCGAGTAAAAAATACTGGAGAAGGAAAGGGAGCAATTTTAACTTTTTAACGCCAATGTGCTAATACAATATACAAAATATAATATAAAAAAAGTATTTATTTCTAATTAATTTAATAGGATTTAAAAATTACGATACAGTTTACATATTCCCATTTTTTCATTATTTTCTTAATTTGATATTGAAACTTTTTCTTTCCCGATAATAAAAATTTTATACAGAATAATTTGCAGAATTGCACAACATTAACGGAACTTGCAAAGCGTTAAAAGATTGTTTTCGTTGTACGACAACTTTAACCTAAAGTTTTTAAGAGGAGCGTAAAACTGTTCTGCGAACAAAGGTGCATGTGCTTCTTTTAAAGGCAGCGTCTCATTAGCCGGAGACACTTTGTTGAACTTATCGTCTGCAAGATACGAGGATCCAAAAAAGCTTGTTACAATTAGAAGGTACATATTTTACAATCTCATACACTCGTTACAGAAAAAGGAAATGTTTTTCACTGGGTATAATAGATAGTAAAAATGTCGAATCGTCGTAAATCGTTTACAGAGCTGTGAGACATGAAGATATACATTCGCCAAGGTTTTATCTCGGATATTTGGAAAATACATCGATTTGAATGTATACGTCAATAATTTCGCTGATATTAACTTTTCATGGGATATTTCATGGATTTATGTAAACAATATTTATCATTAGATCGAAATTATCGAAAATGGTATCGAGTAAAGAAAATTCTGTTATAAATATTGACTGTGTAAATCTATATTTATATATCATGATGTATACATTAATTATAACTGTATAATTATTATTTTTAATTAGATAAGATATTTATAATCATTTTTAGAGACTAGACTAATTTTCTTTATAAAACCGAAACTTCTCTGATTTTAACACATTCACATGTTCTTTTCGAGATATATGTATATTTTGCGAAAAATATTTATTATTGTAAATTATGTATCAGCAAATTATTTCTCGTTTTTCGAATTGATTATTTTAAATGATATCAATGTCGACAAAACCAATTTGACTCTTGTCATTACAATCTTGTATTACGGTACAAATATGTTTTCAATTGAAAATACGATTAATAAGTAAATATGCCTGATTAACTTCCTATTATAATAAATATCGAGTTATTAATCATTATACACTCTCTCATGAGGGCTAATGACAGCGTAAAATAAGATTTATATTGTCAAATTATAAAGCGTTATTTATCGTATGAATCTTTGATTAACACAAGTAAAGTTTAATATTGTTACTATTGTTGTTGATATAATTAGCAACAACATGTGCCCCAGCAATTGGCAATTAACCTAATAGAAGCACGTCGACTGTACAAGTGCATAATATGCTATTTTTAGTGTTATTGCTGTAATATGGAATCAGCGCTAATTGTGATTCCGCAAGCACAACGAATTGTAAGTATCGGAACACGTGGCATTTTTTGCCTGTGTAATTTTGTCATATTAGGGCGATCGATAACGCTTCGTTATTAACGCGTAATGTAGCCTAATTGTTCGTCTCTGCGTCGATGTAATCCGATTATTATCGTCGCACAAAAATGTACGTATCGCCTGTTTTGTCATGTGTGCTATAGGCTGCTTCGATAATTACTAGCAGGACAATTATTGTTAGAAATAGAAATTTATTATTCTTCACTTACTTTACATTGAAAGAACTTGAAAACTTTATTAAAAAAAAACGTAATTTGAAATTAGCAAGTAATTTAATACAGTAGAGAAAGTATAAAAATTTCACATTAGTTGCTCGCTAAGAAATGTCGATATTATGCAGAAATGTTCGACATTATTAGTTTCCGATATTATTTTTGAATCGTTATCGCGGTCGCGTTTTCAGCCGCATCTCAAACGATGTATACGTGCGAGAATCTTCGCGCCATAATGGCCTACAATTTTTCATCTCACACTAATATTCAATTTTCAACTCTCCGTTATGTCGTGCATTACACTTGGAGACTTTACAACTCGCGTCTTATAGCAGGTTTATTGCGTCGCGAAATACGTCGTTCGACGAAACAAAATGGTTTCCAGAATGTTGTCCTGGCGCTCGTTTCTTGCACTCGCCGTAGAAACGCGTTGAAAAGCGCATCGAGGTGTAATAACGTCCCTTTTCAACAATTCATTCCTCTTTTAACATTCTGCGCTCCAAACTATGTTATGTTAATTATCTCTCTGAATATCAATTCTTCGCCATTAAATAAAGTGATAAATGTGAGTTTAAAAGTGGGTTTCTTCTATATGAACATCGCTGTGATAAACCGTTGGGTCAAACAACAGCATGAAACATATTTTTCTCTTGTTGAAATAAAAGGATTCATAAAAGTACTTAATATCCATCCGTTTTCGTTTACTTCATTATGGTGATCTTTTTCCATCGTAAGCAGAGTAATTATAATGAAAAAAAAAAGATTGACAATTTTATTGCTCATGCTAATATGACAAAAATGCTTATTACGCGCATGGAAAACAATTAATCGATATTCCCTCAAAAATTAATTATTTTCGAGAGCTCACAAAAGAGAGAAAGAGCTTAGAGAGAAAAATGACAATTTTCCTCTTAGCGGGAATTTGACTTTGCATTAAGCACTGTATATCTGGTGTAATAAATTTCAGCATAAGTCCTTCTATATATGTGCAGCCCGTAAGTCCTTCCCGCATTCCTTCTAGTTTATTCGCTTCTGTACACACCGCGCATATTTTATGTTGCATACAGTCTGTCTTATAGTGCATCGCGAGCAATAAAATTATTACGCTTTATTAGCATTTTAGCAGTAAATGTCTAGCAGTAATATCGTTTCTCTCCAATAATCGGCAAGTTATAACAGTCGGCTTGGAAATGTATCTGAGTTTTACGCAGGCAATAAAAAACAGTTCATAAAGTTTACGAAGAATAAACATTGTGTGTGCATGTAAATGAAACTAGTCATACGCATATTAGTCTACATCAGTAAAAATACGATTGTATCGAGCAGTAAATAAATTTATCTGTTATAAAAATAAACACTCACATGTTCGTAATAATCATATATGCTGTAGTAATAGTAAGCGTCCAAGTTATAGTGTACAATGTATTCAACACGTACAAGGTAATGGATTTACGTATTTATTATGCAAATTAGAGTCACGCAAATTTTTCATTAAATTGCCAAGAGGAAAATTTAATGCAAGGTGAAGAATTAATATCAATTTTACAATAAGCTGCAAACTTTCAGCGCGTGCATATTTATTTGCGTCTGGTTGCGAAACAACTTGGTGAAAATTTGCCGTTTGCTCTCGCGCGGTTGCATTAAAGGGCGACCGATGTTGGCAACCGTATATGGTAACCTGCTTACGCGTCGGTTTGTTCGCATTTTAGTTTGCAGATCCTGTGCTAGCAGTTGCGAGATCAAATGTTTCCCGTGAAATTATATATGCCAACACCGTCGAAAGGCGGCAATATCATTTTACTGCTGCCCGTAAACATTCATCTCGTGTAACTTAGAATCCCCGTTATTTAACTAATAAATTGCAGTTAAAAATACGAAGATTTCCGAAGAATTTGCGATGCAGGAGAAGTTTTAGCATTAATTATAGGTTCGTTGAGTTATATCCTTATAAAATAGCGCAAAACTTAATCCGCGGCCACTTGTTCATAGATTTTATATAATATAAACTGTAGACTTATATAAATATCTGTAGATTTATATAATAAAGTTATATAATCTCGCGCCACGGGTCAGACTTTCATATATCTCACGTTTATGGAAATAAATTTCCGCCATCATCTGTGCTCTATATTGCACATTAATAAAGATAATTAGAAGTTAAAGACGAGATAAATGATTCATATAAGAATAAAGAGTTATATTTTTCGCGTTGAAACTACTTATTTATCTTGTGTAAATTTCTTGTACTACAAATTTATATGTGTACATTTTCTGTGAAATGCGCCAGATAATGAAATAATTCGCTCTAGATATATCTTTTTAGTTTTCTTAATTTGTATCTTTTATTTTTCTATTTGTTTTTCTTTAGAAAATTAAACGCTTTATTTTTTATTGGTTATTTAAAAATATTAAATATATAATTAATTAAAACTTACCTGGAAGACAACTCACTGCTTTCTCCTCGTCGGAGCACTTCTGCGTCAGCCAGAGATAATCAAACCATTTGATAACTTTCACCTGCAAATGATTCGGTACCCTCCTCATCCTCATGTATGTCTTCACGCCATCCAGCTTCGCTGCAACCAAGATACAATTGTTTTTGTTACAATTTATCATCTCGAGTGACAACTCAATTATGTATATCTGTGAGTTTTAATCGAGTTTTTTATAGTATGCTTTTTTTAATCTTTAGAAAGTGCTTATATAAATTACGTAATATCTGACACACGATCGTTAGCATTAAAGCTTAATTCTCCACAAGCTAATCACGCATATATGATATCATATATACGTTTCCGATTTCAATCAATTATCATTTGAACATCGAAAGCCTCACATGAAACCATCGCATTTTCCAATTCGCGAACGTGATAGTATGCCATTATATCGCTGAAATGTTCGACGAGCATTAATATTTGCGGTCGTTTTTGCTAATTAAAGTTCATACAATCAAATATCGACGATCACGTGGCTTTGCAAACTGTATGTGATAAATAAATATATTACGAATGCAAAGAAAGCCTTTGTGACAAAGAAAATAATTAAGTTTTCCATAGTTAAATTATAATTCGACAATATTTTTTTATTATTACTTATTATAACAAATATACTTTCTGCGCCGTTTAAAAACACTTCTCACTTTTTTTATTTCATCGAATTAATTATGCCGATTAGAGTATTTATACGAGCAGTTTTTTATCGCAGCAAAGAGCACGTTGACATCAGTTAATTAAAACGAACTAAGATAGAGGGGAACTCTCTCGCACGATCCCTATTCTTTTCCATCCTTCCTATGAGAAGACTATTGATGCGATTTGTTAATATAGCGATATCGTGTCGTATCCGCCATGCAATCGCTGCACGGGTTGCAGATCAATAGTGACGCAGTGAAACGGAAAACTAAGATACCGTTACAATTTTATGAGGACATATATCGATAGTACATATTCATGTGAACAAGTCATTCAATTGCGACACAAAAGTAGATAAAAAAGTCGTTGGAATCAATATTGCTAAATGTAATAAATAATGGCGAAAGATATTGTTTAAAATTTTGAAAAGGTGAAAACCGATAACAGGTAATGTTACAACAAATAATTTGAGATTTGTAAATTGATAATTAACAAATAATAAATTAATTAACGTTTAATTCTATGCAAAATACAAGACGTCCTAAAGATCTATATAATAATTTTATTTACAAATAATTGTCAGGTAACATTTTAATTATTGCCTTTTTTTTTGCACGTGCTGGCACAAATGTATGTAAAATAAAAAAATTTATAAAGGATTTCGAAAGAGATGGCTGAAACGTGCCCGTCATACCGAATGGGTGATGAAATGTAATTTTGCAAGATACGACGTATTTCCACTTGGAAAAACTGCAGAATGTAGACGGTTTCATCTAAACTTTTTGATGGCAAGCAGCAATTGAGAGAAAATATTTTGGCAATTTCACTATGCAAAGAAAATCGTTTTTGCGTCTGAAGATTCAGTGTTTTAATTGTAATACAGATATTCCAAAATATATCAAACAACAACAGAATAAACTTATACAGAATATAATTATGTTCGGATTATGTAAATGATTTTAACAAAGTTAGATGATATAATATAATGGTTCTCTAAATATGATGTAAAATGTAAAGATATTATTACTAAACTTTGCGTCGCTTGTATCAGCCCACTATGTTTCGAGAATTTATAAATATGGATTATAGAGAACAAAGAATGCATATCAAGAAACGAAATGTCAAACTGTCTCCGAATGTCAATGTCTATCCACGTTAAATATTCAATCATCGATATTCAATCAAGCAAGCAGAGAGCAATGGAACCAATAAGGAGGAATGCGTTTCTTTGTCAGATTACGTTTAGCGACTGCGTTCATGAATATATTTGCAATCATACGTTTGTCTTTTCGTATGGATCATATTTTATGGTTTACGTTAGTTAAGATAAAGTTATTCTATCGTATAAAGAGTTTATTGATCAAAGACTTTTAATTAAAAAATGTTATTTTAATACTGTATAATCCTCTTCAAATTTTAAATACCGAAGATAAACTCCATTATAAAATACCACCCTCTGTATGTATATTAGATCATATATAAATAATTTCTACAAAACTTTCAATCGAGTTTAATCGAGTATAACTTAAATTTTATAAAGTATATTTTTTTGCCTCCCCTGTGAGAGAATGTATCAAGTTTCTGAACTTGGCGGCTTTTTCGTTTCAGCTGCTCAAATATTAATGCACAACGCGGTCCAAGGATCCGCAGTGCGGAGTTCACTGCAGCGATCTAATTTTTTTCCGTACAACGGGATAGTCGTCGTTTCGGGAAGTTGCCATTCCGGGATCGCCGATCTATCCCCGATATACCTGCGAGGTAATCAATCCCAGGTATCTCCCGGGTTGGGCTGTGATTCAGGTGGAATCCCCGCGAACGGATACGGACGGGCGCAATCCGGAATTGGCCGAAAATGGATATAACGGGGACGCCTGGCTGGCTGGCTTCACCTCGCTTGACTGACAAGGAAGAGGGATGGTTTCTATCGGAAATGGGCTTCCAGCCCATGACCGACGGCTCGTGCCCGCTTCGAACGCTTCTCGGGATGGTGCAATTTAACTTATTCTCGCTTCTCTCGCGCGGCTCGCATCTCGCCGCCGGGATTCGATCCGGGATGGCACAATCCGGAACGAGGACAGGCACAGACCGATATTGAAAATATATACAGCGGCCCGATTCGGCTGATGGAGCGATCAAAGAAGCGAGGAGACACCTTGGCTGCGATCCAGCCGATATTCCCTCTTCGATTATTTTTCAAACGGGTTCATCGAACCGTGTCTGGGCATCGGGATTTGCGAGGATAGTGTCCCTCGGTGGGGATATAAAGTTACATCCGGTGACCTCTTTGGAACATTTTCGCGCAAGCGGAGTACCCGCATCAAGAGATAATGTCTTCGACATTGAGATTTTACATTTGTATAACGTCGCGGAGTTTATTTCTTGCCATTACAAGTATGGAGAAATGTATTTTTCTCGCGTCATTATTCTTCCTCTCTCTCTCTCTCTCTCTCTCTCTCTCTCTCTCTCTCTATAGTCGCTAATAAATTATATTGATCTTATGTAATATTGTGAAATTCTGGAGAAGTGAAGCGTATCATCGATTTTTCTCGAATAATTATTATTGTTTTCATATTTCATTTTGTATTTGTTCATTTCATTTGTGTATTCAATTATATGTATTTATATTTATGTATCATTCTGAGGATTTGTGCGTGAAAATACGTTTCAAATTATTAATATAAATAAATTTTATATTGTGTGTGTGTGTGTGTGTAATATATATGTCGGTTATTAATTACTTACTGTTACTATATTATTTATTATTATACTTATTATTATAATAATTATATCCTATTCTACAGTATTCATTTCTCCAGAAAGTTATTGACAATAAACATTATTGACAATAAACATTATATATGAAGAGAAATATTCAACGTTTTAAATCTATAGTTTTAATTTAATTAATAGTTTTATTTTAGTTTATGTTCACTCTTTTTCTTCGCCATTTTAAGGAAATGAAAGAACGTTGCGTATGAAAATGAGACACATTGAGATCGCGCGTCAACGTGGAAACGAACATAAAAGTCTTTCGCTGCATACTTAATGATAGAACTTTCAAATGTCTTAAAGTCTTAAAGGGTAATGGAGAGTATTCGCACGTCGGTATGAGATCAAAGCGTCGTAATAATTTCTGGCTCGTTTCCAGCTTTATTGAAAGAACAGAAGCTAAGTCACGTTTATTTCGCGCCAAAGTGAGATTTAATTCTACCAGAACGACAAATAGCCATTGTACTTTGAAAATAATCATATCTTTACAAAAGAAATTTAAGTGGATTCTATTATCTCTTTGTAGATATTACAAAACTTTCGCACAGCGCTCTATCACGTCGCAACCAAATGATCAAAGTTTGTAGAAAAATCAGATATCAATTCGTCAAGATATGAAGATGCTGAAATATTAAATAGTAAAAGTCTCTAGTTCTCTTTTTCCGAGAAAATCGCAAATTTTCTTTGAGAAATTATTCCTTTTTGTCCTTTTCCTCTCGTCAGTTCTGACTCTGATCCCTAAACGACATGCCGACGTTGTCTGTCCAACCGCGCAACCTGAAACTGACAGTCCGAGATGAGGCTCCGGAAGATCGATGGATCCTCGAGACGCGGTCTTAACGACCTTGTTCCATGTTACCGATAGCCTCTACCGGAACGTCATTACTTTCCTTTCAGTCCACTCGATCAAGGCACTCCCTCTAATGAACGGCGTCTGCAAATGGTTTGCACGTAATAAAAGTAAAGACACCGCGCAGACCGTTCGCGCTATTCCCATAAATCATCGCGAACAATGAAGAAATACGACTATTACGGTTATTTCTATTTCTGCAAAATAAATTTAGTTGCTCCTGTAAAACGTAAATTCCATTTAGCCCGCGTATTTTGCCACAATATATTATTTCTGAATCCCATCGTTTCTGATTTTATCGTGTCGCCGTCGAATATCGTGCGGACCCCTGCTTGTCCAAAAATATGACCGTTATGTGAATTTCGTCAAAGTTCGCTCGTATGACTGAATAAAAATAAAAGAAAAAAAAATACATCCGGTAGATTACACGTTCGCAGCTTAATTAGGCGTGTACTAGCCAAATATTCAAAACGAGAGCAATTATGTTGTTGAAGGGGGTTTGCTGCGAGCGATTGCGAATCGCTTTTGCTTTTGAAATTCCGCCGTACGCTGACGGGCATATTGCGCCCCGGGGCGGATTAATTTTCGTGAAAGTCTCCCGGGCCAATTAATGGCGAAACGCAGCCTCGTTAATTATCCGGAATTCTGAACAAGCGCGCGTCGTGCGAACGCGAGTTACCCTATTAGCTAGACTTCCTCATTGTTAGCGTAAGAAATGCGATATTTTGTAGCTTGATAGATTTACGTCGGTGCGATTCAGATAATTCTTTCGCGGCTCGAATTTCCACGTTTTCCTCACTGTTATATCGCAAAACAGCTCACACAA